GGAACCAGGAGGCTCGCGGAACAACCGCAGCGACGGTTGTCGCGCCGTCGCAAGTGGGTCCAGTGGTAGCGCAGCAGATTGGGCCGGTGGCGCAGACGGTGCCGTCACCAGCAGGAGAGGTACCGCAACCCCCGGCTCCACAAATGGTGACCATGAACAGAGAGGAGATGCAGCGAATGATAGCCAACGCGGCGGCACAGGCTGTGCAACAGGTTACTCACCAGACATCCCAGGCTACTACCACGCCGACCACGGTGCAGGCGACCCATAAGGAAGATGTTTCGAGCTATGGAGGAGGGGGAGAGCCCAGAGATAGGGCAATGGAGAGAATGGCTGAGCAGCTACGGCAATTGCAGGAAAGGATCGAGGGAAGGTCAGACAGGCGTGCTCGAGGACACCCATTCTCGAGGGAAATACTGGCCGCCCCGTTGCCTGCCACTTTCAAGGAGATAAGCTTTATCTTTGATGGCTCGAGCGATCCAGCGAGGCATGTTCGAGCATTTGAAAATATGTCCGTGTTGCACGGATATTCGGACCCAGTTAGTTGCAGAGCGTTCTTGTCGACCCTTCGGGGAGGTGCCCTTGATTGGTTCCATCAACTAGCCCCTGGGTCGATCAAAGACTTCGAAGATTTTGCAGGCAACTCACCAACCAGTACGCGAGTGCAGTCGCGCAGGAGAAGACATACCTTACTCTGATGGCGATGCGGCAGGGTGAGAAAGAGTCGCTACGGAAGTACGTGGCTCGATACAATCAGATGTGCTTAGAAGTGCCCACGACTGTCGACGAGGTGAAGGCGGGAGGATTAATCAGGAGCCTACGACCGGGACCTTGTCGGACGTCGTTGGCGAAGACGCCTGCTCGAACTTATGAGGAGGTGTTGAAGAGGTGCAAGAAATACATCAACCTGGAGGAGACGGAGGCCGAGTTTGCCAAGCTCGAAGAAGTGGCGAGGCCCGACCAAAAGAGGGGAAAGCCAAACTCACCCAGACGGGAGTCGCCCAAGAGGATTCCTCAGAAGAGTGGCCCATTCAGGAGATTGTCGCCCAAGAAGGATGGGCGAAATTCGTTTCAAGGAGGGCGGGAAGATCGTTGGCAAGGGCGACCACGACTACCCAACGAGCAAAGATATAACAACTTCACTCCTCTTAATGCTCAGATGGATGAAGTCCTGGTAGCCATGGAGGAAAAGCTGGATGGTAAGGAGATCACGTGGCCAACGACAAGATTCGACGGACCGACCAAGCCAAGGTCGGGCAGATACTGCAGATTCCATAGGGATTA